CCTGATTTACATCAACCAATGAAATTGCCCACCTTTGTTCATTTTTATATGTTCGTTTCATATGTTCGTTTCATTTTGCCCCCCCTTCCCCCCTCTCGAGAGTCCTGGAAAAGTGATGTTAACCGAAGAATCAACTTCAAACGGCCTTATGCTGAGTTAACCGATTACACCTGGTTAATCGATTATTATGCTGGGTCAAGCATGTCAACCGATTATTACGGGTCAACTGATTATACCGAGTCAACTGACAAAGCATTTTGCTCAACCGGCTAACCCGAATTTATTCAGTCCAGATCGGTTACCCGATTAAGGCAAATTTGCTAATCGTTTGGCCAAAACCAAAACTTTCCTATTCCGAATTTGGTTAAACGATCTGCAAATTTGACAAGAGTTAAAGTAGGTTTTATTTATTTATATTATTACAATCGATTTTCAATACCTGTTTAAACACGATTTAAGAATTCACTGTGATGCTGCTTTGAGGCGTTATGATCACGCTGACCAATAAAATGTAAGATTTTGCACCTGTACACCATTTCTCCCACGGGTAGACCATACACTTCGTTTCACTCCGTTCCTGTATCTAACAATGCAGCAGTCATTACAAAACATTCTATAAAAGGTTAAAGCGACAAATCATTGATCATGCGTGAGAAAACTGATCTCCAAAATTAGTGTCGCTATAAAATCGTGATCTGTACAATCGTATAAACCAATCAACTTTAATGCCGCAAAATTTCGACAGAAATAGTAAGATTTTTTAAAGAACTACATAGTAACTAATTGCATATATAATGTATTATATTCTTGTTAACCAATAAAATTGTTACATCTCATGAGAAAATTCCTGTCTTGTATTAGCATACATTATAATCCAATCAACTTTAAGATTTTGCCTTCGGTTTATTTGCCATCATTCCATACACTACGTATACACTACGTTCCTGGTATAGCTAATTTAAGTCTAATAATATGTATATAAATAGGGATAGGAGGGAGAAAGCACTTCTTTAGTTAATTTTTTGAGTCCTATGGTTTTAGTTGGAACAAGGGATATTGTAGATGACTATAGTGTACCAGGTACACTTATTAGGAAGATACTTACTTGTATCGCTCATATTTCTTTGTACTTTTAGTGTCTTGTACGTAATAATAAATAATTGGTTCCCTACTTTTAATGCTTACGACCTGAGTTGAATTGGCAGTGCTGTTATAAAGTCTCTCCCTTGTCGTAACAACACCGCACCAGTGGAGTTGAATACCTAGGGATGGTACATAGTTTAAATCACGATGTTATGAATCCTTGATTTTTTTTTTATTTAAACCAATTTAAAGCATGCTCTAAATAATTTTTATGTATCCATATAACTTGAATCGCGTAATTGATAATTTAAATGTACGTTAACTAAGAAGAGATGTTCTTCCTTTTAAAGATATTCGTTTATCCTTATACAAATTATTGGCATAAATAAATATGGTTGAAAAACGCCTCATCATACGTGTATCCACTATGGGTCATTTAAAATGTAAAAATCTTTTAAAGATATAAAGGATTCATTAGATTTACTATTTAAAAGATCAAAAAAATATTACATATACTGATTTGACAAGCTCAAATAAGAATTCAAATACTGGCATTACCTTTACTACTATTGAGAATTCATATTGGTTCGAATTTATGAAAATCGCCCAACTATCATATCGTAGCCTCAGTCAACAAAGTTAATAAAAGCTATATATATTATAAGAAATCACGATTTTTAACAAGCTACCACTTTTTTTAATAATTTTATACTGAGATGGGCACTTGCAGATCCTTAATATCATTTATAAAAATACGTTTAAGTAACTGTATATGCAATGCATTGATTCATATTTCAAAAGGAAATCTTTTTTTTGTCAAAAAGGATATAAACTATAAACTAGGTAATATATTTTACCAATAGCTGACTAATGAATATAGAGTCGCTATTATTATATTTTAGCTCAAAATATTTATACAATGCTTCATGGCTTTATGTGGAATTTTAAACAATTTTATTTCAATAGATCAAAAGTGGATAATCTAACCTTCATTTATTTTCAGTACCCAAATATGTATACCTGTCAACAAACGAAACCTATAATAAAATGAGTTATCATACTTACATGACTAACATGGCCATCACTATTTAAATATTATAATGAGTCTTGTTTGCTTGTAAACTAGCAAAAAATATAAAATTAATATTTAGTCAACAAATCACATCCATTTAGTCTCTAATTCTAAATTTAATCATACTTGCTCAAATTCTTCAGGATGCGTAGACAACTCTTTTTGTATTATTTCCTTGCGTTGCAGAAGTCGGTGATTTCTCCGTGTTCTCGCGCCTTCAAATATTTCTACCATATGTGGTTGAACTGGTCTGATATGTGAAACAGGTGTTGGTATATTTGAAAAATCGACGGCAACTATTATAATAATGGTATTTATGTTAAATATAATTTGAAATTTTTCTTCAAAAGTGGTAAATTAAGCGAAAATTAACCTATTGTAAAGAATCCATCATTAGTGAAGAACCTTTCACCTGTTAAGACATTTTCTGCGTAAACAAAATGTAAAATGGTATGTACAATATTAATATTTAAAATTATTTTAGCACAATATAATATGCATATTTCAACACATACCAGCTTCCACAGACACATACATTTCTAAGCTTGAATGGAATGTGCAAGACACAATAGAACGTACTGTTACACCTACATGAATATAAAAATGATTTATAAAAATTTGAAAATTAAATAACATAGGCTAAAAATAAACAGAAATTCATACAATCACCAACATAAGTTGGTCTAATAAATTGAAGAGAATCAATACTATAAAAATATATATATAAATATTATATAAAATATTAAATAGAAATTTCAAAAAAAAATATAAAAAATATTAAATTACCTCGCTAATAATAAAAATCTTCTGGAATGTTTAAAAGCACTAACAAGAGCACATTGTTCCATCAATCTCATAATATAACCACCAAAGGTAATCTAATTTAAAAACATAATTTAAAAAAATTTTAGCATTAATAATACTAAATAAATTATCATACAGCATGACCATGTAAAATAAAATTTTATACCTGCAATGAGTTGGCATGCTGTGGTAATATAATATCTGCTATTTCTGCAAAACTTTCAGACATCAATTTTTCATCAGGTTGTGTTGGAAGGATGCCTTGCAATGTTGATCTTCTCCTACGAAGATATAGTTTTGCAGGATCATTATCTAAATTATCATTCTGTTCTTCATAAGCATCAGGTTCTTGTAAAAGAGGTGGTATCTCAGCACTACTTTTTGTTTCCATATTCATATGTTCTGCCCATTCATGCATTACTTCTCGTACTTTAGTTAATTTAGCTCGTTCTATTTTAGCATTTTTAGATTGAGATATACGAGCTTGACGACGTTGTTCAGCTAATTCATATCGATGCGTTTCAATGACAGTATTTGGTACAATTCGAGGTACAGTTACAGGCAAATTTTCAGATCTAGTGGTACTGGAATTCTCGAATTTCCACGACTGAGAGCCACAAATGTTAAGTATGCTATTCGATTATTCAAAAATTATCAATCAAATGAATTTTAAAAAAAAGAACATATATATCTTTATTTATACCTTGACAACAATATCTTCACTTTCCAGTTATTGGATGTTCCGTCTCTACACGTACTCCAACCTAGAAGGATAAAAGAGTAATCAACATATTCTGAATCAATTTAAGTTGATCATAAGTATCAAATACACTACCTCCATTGAAGTATTCCATGATTTGTTAACACATGATACAATTGTAACTAAATCACCAACTCTAATCGAATGCATAAAATGTACAGCATCAACACTTCTTGTAACCTACAGAAATTCAAAATAAAAAATATTCAAACACATTACAATAGATAAGCCTAATCATCAAATTAGAATAATTTAAAAATTAATGCTTTACACATAGATATACAGCATGTCTTTTTGCAGACATTCCAGCAGCCAAATCGATCCAACCTAAAACAACACCTCCGTAAATGAGGCCTCGAGAGTCTGCATGAGATGGTAATACAATATTCGTTGTTGTGAACCTGTTTTATGAAGGGAAATTTTAAAAATTGTAAATGTAATATAACTTGAGATAGACAATCTTAATATTTCAAAATTTAAAGACAAATATAATAGTACAAAAACCATCTAATTCTGACTGTTGGATCACGAGATATTATCATTGATATTATTAAGAATATATATAATCTTTGACAGTGAATAACTTTTTGATCCATTGGTCCGTTTTAGATGATTTAAAAACCAAAATGATCGTCTCGATGAGACAATTATAAGAGCATAAAACCGTTAAAATCCAATCACAGGACCCTGGGATAATTAAAGATTTGTACTCCTAAATAAAATTAAATATGTAAACTCGCAAATTTTTATGCACAAATCTTTAATGATCTCTGGATCCAGTAATTGGATTTTAACAATTTTGTACTCATTAGAATCGTCTCATCGAGACGTGGTTAAATCATTTAAACCGGGGCCGTTGATCAACTGTCCACAATACTCACCTATTTTTTTTTTTTTTTAACTAAGGTAGATAGGGGTAATTTGACGAATAAGGGTAATTTGACGAATTTGCGTATCTCGACATCACGTGATCAGAATCATGCAATTTTTATACCATTCGATTCCTCTCATCGAGAGGAATCGAATGGTATAAAATTTATTAGAATTGGATCACAGAGTCACG